ATTGTGCTATGGAATTATCATAGAGCCTATGTAAAATTATTATTTTTCTACTTGTAATTATTCCTTTATTAGAAGCACAAAGAGACAAGACTTTTAAGATGTAATTCTGTCCTGGGAAAAAAATGGTTTCTTTTGGCACCTTAAGTTTCATGATAGCAGTTCCTAATGAATTAAATGGTTCTTCTTATTTTTTCACTAATATTATGTAACTATCCTATTAGAAATAAATATATTAAAGTTTATAGCAGACTATTGTGTTTTAATTTATCCTAAACCCTTTTCATTGTTACATATTTTGTTATGGAGACTTTTATAAAGATTTGTTCTAATAATGTTTATGGACAAGATATCATGTCTACATCTTGTACTCTGAATAATCACTAAGAAGACAACAATATGCAATGTATTAATTATTGAAACTGTCCTAATAATCAGTTTTGAAACTGTCTTGTTGCTATTTGTTTCTCAATAAAATTATTTTTAAAAAGCTTTACATTTTCTTGTATGTATTTGCAAGTACTCATAGTAGGTGTAAATTACTCTGACAGATTTTTATAACTCAGCATATTCTTGTAGCTTCATTTAGGGAAGAAAACTGAATGATTCTGAAGTTTGTCTGGACATCAGAAGAATATTCTCTGAATATTAAAGTCTATTTTCCAAGCCACCCATTTCCAGTTGTTTTCTAAGCAATAAACTATAGTGTGGGATACATTTGTTTTTTGCAAGATTTCATTTAAATATTTAAAAAGTTCATATTGAAAAGTGATAGAATGTTGTTTTTGTACAGGGGAATAGTTAACTTGCTTTGTGATACAAATAATCTTATTAGTAAACCATTGCTCATTAAAATCAAGATGTTTGTTTTTAAAAATTGACCTGGATATTTGCCTGTAGTACTAGATCATTGACAGCTTTTGTTTTCCCCTTTCCTTTGCACAGAAAAAAGCTCTACTCAACCTGTATGATGATACTAAATATATATACAAATGTTTTATTCTTAGGTTCAGTGGCTCTTCTACATTTGTTACCTGGGTTGGATTCTGTGCTTATTCTTTTTTTAAAAAAAAAATAATATATTTGGTACAGGATTTCACTACACAGCTTGGACTCATAGTGATCCTTCTGTTTTCAGCCTCCCCAGCGCTAGGATTATAGGCGTGCACCACCGCGCTGATCTTGGTGTCCGGCTCAGCACACCTGGGGGTGGGGCTGGTGCGGCATGTGGTGCTGTGGATCCAACTCCTGTCCCTGCACTTGCCTAAGCAGGTGCTTGGTCCTCTGAGCTATCTCTGCGGCACTCTTTTTAAATGTTTTATACAAATAGTATATAACTCATTAAACTTCAAAAGAATATAAGTCTAAAATGTTTAAACCATTTAAAATTATTTTGAGATGCAGTTCCAGCTGTTCCAGGTACCTCATTTATAGTTTTATGCATTTGGTAATAGTATAAGCCCAAAAAATAACTTCAAAATCTGCCATGCATCATTAAATTCATATATACTTCTTTTCAGGTGTTTAAACTTAACTGATCTATATAGCAAAAAATGTGCTTCTCTTTGTGGGTTATAAAATAACATATATTTAAATACTGCTTCAGGGTTTACTTTACTTTGAAGATTATATTGAGAAAATTTGTGGCAACACATCATAACATTGGTGACTGTGGCTTTTTAAAATTAAGAAATGAAATCTTTTTTCCTTTGATGTAGTAAGACATGAGAAAATACATTAAGAACTTTATGAGACTCATAATAGGGGTTCAAGTCATTAGAGTGGTGGCATTATAATGTAGTTTTAATAGTAATCCAAACACATTATCTTTACCCAAAATGGTTTGTTGCTAAGAAACCATTAAGACATTAAATTGTTGGAATTATAGCTGCATTGTATCATCCAATTGAGCTTGATGTATTACTCCAAGTACAGATGACTTATGTCTCAGAAAGCTAAAAGAAAACCTGGATATATAAACTCTGTGTGTGTGTGTGTGTGTGTGTGTGTGTTTCTTTAGAAATTATTTCAATGAATATAGCTTCTCATTGACTTTACTTCAGTTTGTTCAAATTCATTTAGTATTTTTATTTTTTTACTTTTTAAAGAGAGTATAAAGTAGTATTAAAACAGAAAAATTACAAATGATACAAAATTTCACTAAAAATATTATGAATTTCACAGTCTTTGTTGTAATGCATAGTGTTTTCTTCACATTAGTTGTTAATATTATCAGATATATGCATGCATGCAAAATTGGAAGAAGAAAGAAAAAAAACATTTTTCTCTTAAGAAATTAAGAGAAGGGGCCAGGGAGATGACTCAGTGGAGTAAGTGCTTCCCTGGCAAGCGCAAGGACCTGAGTTCAATTCCCGGTTCCACCAAAAAATAAATAAATAAATAAATAAAAATAAATAAAATAAAATAAAGAAATTAAGAGAAAAAAGAAAAGAATTGAAAAAGAAGACAGAACAAATTAAGCATTAACCGCTCCTTTCCACAGACCAGCAGAAATCCACACTACAGTTGTCCAAACCATCCTGCTTACATATATAGATAAACATCTTTCCCCCACTCCCTCTCCTGTTCTTCTCTTCAACTCAGTAATTCCTTCCTTTTGAATGGGGTCATTCTCTTTTCCCAGTGTCTATTTTACTCTTCAGATTTTATTTTCTCCTTCAAGTTCTCACATTAAGGAGACAATGTGCTGTTTGCACATGTGGGTCTGATTTATTTCACTTAAAATTATAGTCTCTAGTTGCATCCATTTACTGATAAAAGGCTCAAATTTATCCTTTTTTTAAAAAAAAAATGTATTTATTTATTTTTTTGGTGGAACCGGGGATTGAACTCAGATCCTTACGTTTGCCAGTCAAGTGCTTATCCTACTGAGCCATCTCCCCGGCCCCTAATTTGTCCTTTTTTATAGCTGAATAATACGCCGTTGTGTAAAAATACCACGTCTTCTTTATCCATTCCTCAGCTGATGGGCATTTGGGTTGTTTCCAAGATTTAGCTATGACAAATTGTGCTGCTGCAAACATGAGTGCACATATATCACTGTGGTATAATGTTAATCTTTTTTTTTTTTTTTGAGATGCACTATTCAATAGGACAAGAGTTTTCTTTAAAAATATTGTTACAGGATCTATCTCCTTCCATAAGCAGCAGTGAATTTTTAATGGTCATAGAGACACGTTAAGCATGTTTCCAGCTACTTATACAAGTTTCTTTCTTTCCCTGATGTTCACTCTCCGTAGATATTTATATGGTTTCCATCTTTATGTCTTTAAACTTCTGTTTAGCCATCATCATCTTACAGAGGACTTCTTTTGATCACCATGCCATCTCTTACTCTGTCCACTTATCTGTCTCCATTACACTTAATCTGACATTTTAAAATGTGTGATTTGTCTCCAACATTAGAATATAATCCCCACAGAAGAATGAATTCTGTTTTCTGCTATGTCCTTACATCCAGAATATCCAGTCATGATAGGTACTCAGTAAATATGGATCAAATACCTTCTTCACCAAGAAGATTTTACAAAGAAGGTTGCTACGTGGTTTCTCCTGTTATCACTTTGGTTGTGATCAATATGGTGACTTTAATGCTCCTCTTTAGATGACTTTTGCTACCTAGAACTCCTTAGATATATGTCCTGACGATATGTTACGTTTGTTGACTCTTTCTCTTGCTCTCTCAAGACAGGTGTTGTGAAACTTTAAACTTTCCTGCCATAACTGAGTATCTTTGTCTGCAACAACTTTCATCTCATGTTTTTAGTTTGGCATTACTGCACAATTGGGTGGGTGTTCAAGGCACAATTCTGTACCAGCGCACAGCCCAGAAATAGAGGACCAAGTCCCCAGAGGTGTTTTCCTTGTAAGTTTGGATAAGATTTTATGCTCAGATGAAGTGAGCTGAGATTTCCAAACACTTCCTTTCTAGCCTCCGACCTTATCACAGAACCCAGGTTTCTCTTGTGAGGCACATGGGAACTGTGACCACCCCACTTTGTCCAGGCTTCCAGGCCTTAGTTTCTGGTTTTTCTGAATTTTTGGAATCAATTCCTAGTCCTCTGCCATACAGTCTTGATTTCACATGTCAACTGGAAAACTTACATTCTTAGTTTCAACCTGGCTAAGTATTAAAAGGATTTCTGGGCTGGGGAGATAGCTCAATAGAGTAAGTGCTTGCCTGACAAGTGCAGGATCCTGAGTTCAATCCCTGGTACCGCCAAAAAAATAAAATAAAATAATAATAAATAAATAAATAAAATAGGATTTCCATTATACATTAGTAAACTTTTTGTCTTTAGATGGAATAGCTTCCCATATTTGCTCAGCTGTCATATTGACTAAAGTTGCTTGTGGAGATAATTTATGTTAGCATTTTAAAATCAGTACTTCTAAAAATAATTACTCTGCTATATATATCTCAAAGTGTTTATACCTGGATCCTCTGGATGAGAAATAATATAAACTTATATTCTTGTATTTTAGGTCTCTGGACATTCTAATGTTTTAAAGGAAATATTATGCATTATTTATTAGTAAATTCTGATAAACAGTGACTGTATCATTCTATTTCAAAATTTTTTCTTAACATTGCATCTTTTATTTACATTTTAGCCTTTTAGAAGACTTTTGTCAAATGTAAAGTAAATAAATGGTGATTTTTCAGTTAAGAAGCTAGAAGTCATTGTTTTGACATGTTTGGCATCCTTTAATTCCATTCATAGACCTGTATTTTTGAGTACTAGGTATATTCTCAGCATATGTCTCTTAGGTATTACAGGTTGACTTTTATAAATATTAATAATTGTTATTTTATTTTAAGAAACATTTTAATTTTATTTTCAAGTTGAAATTCACAGACTATGCAGTATTTTATGTTTGGACAAATAGAAATATAAAGCATTTCTATTACATCAGAAAATTTTCTTGTCCTACCATAAAATTATGCCTTTTATTTTAAATTTTACTTTTTTTCTTACCAGATGTTAAGATATCCCACCTGAAACATGAAGAACATCTCAGGAAGTCTTTTGCTTCAAGTATGAATGATTTCCTGGATTCTACAGACAGAAACTACTTTGTTAAATTATGGGCCAAACTTGCAGCAAAAAAAACACCAGTGGTAAGGGAGGGACAGAAGGGGTAAAGTGGCAGCTGGGCCTTAGATGATATCAAAAAAAGAGGATTGATGTTTGGAGACTAATAAGTTACCCTAAACTGTTCTCTCACTTGTATGACCTAAGTATAGCACTGACCCATCAATGCCTTCCACATCTCTCAGAATAGATTCTGGTTCTAAAAATAGAACATTCAGTGAAAGATTTTTTTTTTCTTTTTTTTTTTGCATACCTTCCCTTGGGCTCCCAGTGAAAACTCTGACACTCAACTTTTGTTTGGTGAGACTAAAAAAGCACTGTGATCAAATTAATACAATAAAATTTGTATTTCAAGGGAAAACATGTGCTGTGTCTCAGATGTAATTTTGAGTATTTAGGGCTAAGCTTGAAAAGTGAGTGCACTCAGAGTTTTGTGTTTTATCCGAGCCATGGGCTTGGTCCCTGCACAGTGCTTTGGGAATGTCAAGAAATCAGCATGCAGAGACGTGTTGGATGCAGAAGGGGACCTGCATTCATATTAGGTTTTTCTCATTTTCTACTTGGAATTGTTTTTGTGTGATAACTTGGGAATGCAAAGAAGCTGTCATCATTATAATTGCAGAAGCAGCAGAACTCTTGTTTTGGTTTTGGACTCTGGTTGTATTTCTTATGGTTAGCCTATTTTAATCAAATAATCACATCTTCCAAAATGAGAAGCATGGGTCACGGTAACAGAACAGATTGGTTACTTGTTATTTCCTACAAAATGTCTCAGGTTGTGGTACCTACAAAGCACAGCTGAACATTTCACTTGATATCATAGAAATTGTTGAGTATTCTAGGTGCAAGAAATGGACCTGTCTGCTAATGTTTCTTTAGGGTTTGGTTGACCTCTTTGCTGACGGGCTTCTGCCACTCACTCGTGGGCCCCTCCCACCAGCCCCTTGAGGAGTGGACTCTGTGAACAGTCCAGCCCTGCCATTCAGTAACTTGGCTCTGTGTCCACAATTCCCAGCCACTTCCTTCTGTCTTTTTAGTTTATATCACTGAAGAAAAGAGACTTTAACTGGCCTATCTTGAATTTTCAGGCCATGCCACAGAGGTTCTATTACACTGCTTGTGCACCGAGTCCCCTGTGGCAGGGCTGAAGGTGGGGCTCCTTGGTACAGATGGTGGCTTCTTTGGAGCAGGAATTGATGAGTGTGCTCCAAATATCTATGAATCATAGGAATTGAGCCCAAGATGCTGGAGTGCAGAAAAGTCAGATGTATCAGGACAAATAATTAAACCTGGAGTTATTCCCACCTACCAGGATTTGTGGGAAATTAAATGTCAATCATTAGGGATGGGGATTGTTCTCCATATTCGATTAAATTAAAGAATTGTGGGGTTTATACCATTCTGGAAGGTGGTCAACTTTCTGCCTCCAAACCATCATGTTGACCTTGATGATACTCCCTATGTAAGATTCTAAATTCTGTTTCTGGCATTCTGTGTGTCCCTTCTCCTCTTCCTGGTGCCTTTTCTCTTATTCCTATCCTGTCCCTCTGGTCTTGCTCAACCATGGTATGGGTTGAGGTGAATAGGTAAGGCTCCTTCTACATGAGGAAATCATTACCCTCTATCATTCCACTTTTGGGAAGTTCTGATCTTTCCAGGTCAGTCTTCAGTTTCTTCATCTGTCATTGATATGCTGGCCTTGGAAGATACAACTTAATGCTTCAAAGAGCTTAGACATTCAAATACAGATTTTTAATCTCCCTCTGGGAGTGGGATATCCAGAGTTCAAATTTCCAGACCATAAAATGTTGGACCTTATTAAAAGACAAATTTTCTTTGTTCAAGAGATTAACAAGAGTTTGTGGTAGGAAAACATGGTGAAACCTCCCCATTATTCTCTTAAGTGTGATTCATCTCTTACCATTTTAATATAAATTTTCATATAAAATACTGTCATATTTTAATATAATTTTAATATAAAATTAGCAGCATCATAGACAAACTCAGAGAGAGGAGGATCTGGTAAAAAGACAATGTTAATATAGGAGGGTCCCTTTGGTGATAACAGATGAGGGAGGGAAGTGGGTATCACATACAACTGCTGTTAAAGAGCATTGTGAACTTTTGTGTGTTGGATCACACCTTACCTGCAGTGTGCCTCTCTGAGAAACTGTTCAGCCCCATAATCAGGGCATTTGGAGCCCACCATAGGACAGAGAAGTCTCTGTCACTGGTTGGTGTTGGCACTTACTATGAAGGCAACAAGGCTGGCACCTTGGCTGCTCAGTGCTGGTGGTAAGGTGGAGATAGTGTAACAGGGTTAGTTTCATAGAAAAACAAATCAAGTCCCTTGGTTTCATTAGGGAAATTGGTTCAAATGTCATACTAAATTGCTGTGGTCATAGATGTTGGTGGATTCACTGAAGATTGTTTTCAATCTCATTTTTTTTTTTTCGGAACTGGGATTGAACTCAGACCCTTGTGCTTGCCAGGGAAGCACTTATTCCACTGAGCCATCTCCCTGACCCCTCATTTTTCTTTTAAAGAGTATGAATTCAGTGCTGTTTTGAAATGTGCAAGTATCAAATTTTAGGAGAGCTCACTAATTATCATCCTTTTAAATAGCCAGTATAATGTTGCAAAACAACATAATATTTTTAAATCACAAGCCACTTGTTGGGACAAAATACTGAACACCCACAACTTATTATTATTATTATTATTTTTTTTTTTTTACCAAGTTTGGTAGATTTTATTTACCCACAACTTAAAGGAAGAAATGGAAGCAAAGATGTTAGGAGAAAGAGCTGCAGACAAGAACTCACCTTCCCAGGTGGTACTGCCAGTGGTCACCTCCAATAAGAAGTCCACCTGCTAGAAACACATTGTGTACTGAACTCGTCAATTGATGAGTCTACTGATGAGTATAGGACCTCCATGATTCAGGGAGTACATTTTTCCATAACAGATTCTGTGAGTCATTGCAATGTTGTGGTAGGGAACATAAAGTTCATTTTATAACCATCTTAATTTAGAAAGAGCTGTCATGTAGATCATCTCACATATCTTTCACCACAACTCTAAGAAGATGCTATTTTCCTCATTTTACTTGCCCAACATAAGCTTCTATGTATTTTTGGAATGTTTTAATGGAAGGCAGAAAGTAATTACACTTCCTTTGTCAAAGGGGAAAAAAACTCCCCTGTATCTTAAATTGTCTAAAAGAAAAAAAGACATTTTGGATGCTTTTTGGTGCCTTAAATGTAGATTTAATGTGTTCATATTTTCCTTTGGGAACCAGAAAAATCTTGATAGTAATGGACAAAGTAGAAATCCTCATCTTTGTTTTCTGGGCTGTGTCTCTCTGAAACATCCTTCTTACTCATTTTGAAGACTCAGTACTCACCATGCAGTGAGGCCTTTTCAGCACCACCCCCTTGTCTCAGATTCTGCTCAGTCCATGGCCACAGTTTGCTATTAGATGTGTGTCAGAATGTGATTACAGAACATGAACCTGGTTTTTATGTGACTTAAAGAAAACAGGGGCTGGGGACATGACTCAGTGCTTCCCTGGCAAGTGCAAGGGTCTGAGTTTAATCCCCGGTTCCACCAAAGGAAAAAAAAAAAAAAAAAAAAAAGAAAAAAAGAAAAAAGAAACAGTTCCATTCCTTGTTAGCCATATTTTATATATGTCATAACAAGTTGATTTGTTGTTTGTTTGTTTGTTTGTTTTATGGTACTGGGGATTGAACTCAGGACCCTGCGCTTGGCAGGCAGGCACTTATTCTACTCAGCCATAGCAAGTTGAATATGTGTATTTATATGTATTTTTGTGGCCTATGCTTGTTTCTATCTCTAGCTATTGGCTTTGACATAGGAGGAAAAATGCATGTACGTATGTGAATAGTCTTGCCACCTATTGTTAATCTTGTAAAGGTCTATTATCTATTAAAGATGTCACTTCCACTTGTACGAAGTAGACATAATGTCTAATTTATGATTTCATAGTATTAAATGCATCTGAAACTTCTTTGTAAGTTATAGACCATAAAACCAATGTTATCAGGTGATGATGGCTCACAGTGAATGGGGAAGGGTGAAGGCCTTGAGCTATACTTTATGTTTCAGAACAACAACTCTTCTTTGGAGGATCATCAACATCCCTGTTATCATGAACAACCTTGATATCCGTGGAAGGTGGTTTCTTGGGCTTCTCAGTAAATGTCAGACTCAGTAATTTGGACCAACCCTCCTGTGGATGACAACTAGAAAAACAGTGTCAAAAGATAAAAAATACAAATCCTATGTAGTGGTGTCAGAAAACAAACAGAGTGAAAACTAATCTGACCAGCAATCTAGGGGTGATGATTTTGAGAGGTGAGTTTGGTACCAGAGGCTGAGTATTCCTGTAGAACTTTGCAAATTGAGGTAGGCATGGTTAAGGACTCAACTGACCCTTTTGACAGTCTTGTATAACTGAGACAATTGCATTGAAGTCTGAGGTCCTAGTGAATTATACTTGCTTTAGGTTAAAAAGTGAAGGACTTTGCAGCTTTTAATTAGAGAAATACAAGTATTCAGGCTTTATAAGAACTAGTGTTTAAGTACTCTTATTCCTGTAATTATATTTGTTTGTGTCCAACAAGATGTCTCCAGATATCTGAAAAAAAATTTATAAGAAATTTGGAAAATACAGTATTTCTCTTGTCATAAAAATGATTAAAATCCATAGGGGCATAGACCACCATCTTGGAGATGTTCTCCAGCCCATCATGAAGTCAGTTATCAGCAGTCCCTTTGGTAACCACTACGTTATCTCACATTAGCACTGGACACAGCATACTGCTACTTTGCAATCACTGGGTTATTCCCTGGAATTCTCCAAAGGAGATATTGCTTGTTGAGATGACCTTCCAGCACCTAGTGTGGTGAGTCTAACCTTCTGCATGGCTTCAATAAATATTTACTGAATCAAGAAACAAAAGAAATAGGTGGTCAAAGGAATAGTGGATGAGTGAGTATGAGG